CCACTGCACTCGGCAGAATCGAAAGTGTGGTGCAGGAAATAACACTTCCCAACCTTAAGCTCATGTCTCTAATGTCTCATTCTTGGTACAGTGCATCACAGTCACATCAGTTTTTTTATAATTAATATTTGAGGGCTGTTGGGCCAAGTAAAGGCATTTTACAGTAAAATAAAGGTCTACATGTATTATCTGCTGGCACATCAAACCACCAGCTGAACTTGAAATTTTTGACTGTTTGTATATGCCTTGTCTTTGGTATAAAAATAATCTCTGAAATTGTACTTTTAGTTGGAGTAATTGCTACAACAAAATAATATGCATATATTGTCTAAAAGGAGCGGGTCTGTAACACAGAAGAAAAAAATACAAGTGTCACCTGCAGCGACCACTCTTCTCGGTGGCCTTTCTTTTATGGTGGCGCCCTTAGCGGCTGCCACTACCTCTATATTAAACTGAGGCGACAGCCTTTTGACCAGGAAAGCTATTGAGGGACTATGACGCGAGACCTTGTGACATGGATAGCACCTCGGTTGTAAATATGAGGGAGTTCACAGGTGGCCATGTGACAGGTTTATTATTTTTGTACAAGCGCAAGAAACTTCGTCATCCTGCATGAAAGGTTTCTTAAACTCAGCAATTCAGGCTCTTGCTCTCAGCAGTTGTAATATTTGGGAGTTCTTTTTGTATTTACTCACATTTCCACTGAAAGTCTATTGCATTTGATCATTTAATTTACAATGTCCCAGTTATTTTTAAATATGTGTGGCTAATTTTACCACCTTTTGCTCAAGGTGGCAACTTTTTGGTTATTTTTTCAAATTTATTGGTCATTTTTTGTCTTTTTGACCTGGCAACCCTGGGTCACAGAGCAATGGCTTGCTAGCTGAAAAGATAAGGCTTGCTGCACTGGTTTTGAAAGACGGCGATTTTCATCGGCAGATGCTGGCAATACTGTACCTCCATGATTCTGCCGTCAGCGGCATCACACACTTGGGGGAACCATCACTCCTCTTATGTCGCCGACCAGCAGTGCATCTTTTCTCATCACGGCACACACACACACACACAAAAAAAACTTTAATTTCCCTCTTTTCTTTGAAAACATGCTATGCAGTCAATATAACCAGAAGTATTTCACTACTGAGATCTAAATACAGTTTTTCAATGTATCTCAATGCAGAAATGCAGATATTTAATAGTATCTCTGCAATACTATCGTAATATGTCTTGTTATACAAGAGTATCATGTATCGGGATACTGCCCAGAACTTCTAAAACACAAGCCCAATGATGTAGTGGGCCCTCAGTACAATTAAGCCCAAGCACTCAACTACCCATGATAAGAAAGAACATGACACTGCATTGTAAGATGGAATTAAGTCTATCTTGTGTAATGCAGTTGATTAATGATAAAAAGAACTTTTTGACATTACCTTTGCAAATGGCACAAGTTCTTGTTTTTGCCAGGCTATGATATGCTGCTCAACCACAGTGCCAACTGTCAGACAGTATATGGTGGGCATTGAAAATGCTATGTGAGAAAGCCTGTTCTCATATGCAGACGGTAACAGTAGACAGACCACTACAACATGATTTTCTTTGGAACTAAATATTTTTTGGCATAAAACAACCACAATGAGGTTTATAAAATGCTATATTTTAACAATCCACATTGACTTGATATGTGCCATTATTGTCCATTCATGAGCTGCATTCCATAACTAACTTTTGTAGATTGAGCAACAAATTCATACGGAGCTTGATAGGCAATCTTAATGAATGACTGGAACTTGTTGTGCAGAAGTTGGCTGCTTTTTGTGTTTGCTGGGGAATTAGTGTCTTGCTACAAAGTGATTTTGAACAGGCATCGTCTGCTAGTGTTTTTCCCCTGTAGTTACATTAAATGTTGTTACAGTTCAGCAGGTAGAAAGATTAATACTTGTAAGCCCCTATTGTCATTCACTTGCTCTCTCGTGATTCTCTGGGCGTGTCCTGCCTTTTGACACCAGAGGTCAGTATGGTGGAGAGAAAGTCCATTGAAAGAAAACTTTAGTGCTGTTCGTGTCAGCGTGCAGGCTATTCCTCACCCCTCTGTTTCATGGTGGTATGTTGTCCACTACTGTTATGTTTTGTTTAGTTATGCCACGGTCACTTAAGCAAGCACTTGCTTTTGAAGGACACCATCACCATCTCTCCTGGCTCATGGGAGAGGTATGCATGTGAAAGGGTATGCTTTTCGCATCCGCAGTTTCCTGGCGGACACCCTAAAGGGGATGCTGTGGCAGCTGGGAGAGGAGGCATAGGCAAAGAGGAGTCATAGGCAAAGGGGTGCATTTGGCTCCACTTTAGTTTTTTTCTGGGGGCTTCAGAGGAAGCATGGCACGTAGTGAATTGGAAGAAAGCCAGTTAACATTCCCAAATCAAGACTCTTACGAGATCTCCTGTCTCATCCATCTGTATCTCTTGGTCGGTAGATTTATCTAGTAAAACTTGACCGTTGTGTCATTACTTGAATGTTGTGTAATTTTTCCACAACTGCCAATGAAACATGGCGTACTTTCAGTTTACAAAAGTAACCAGTCATGATTAAAGGGCTGGTGCCATCAAATTTCAAGGGTAAAAAAAAGCTTCTTGTGGGTTTCCTTTGTATGCCAGGACACTCCACACGAATTGTCAGAAACAGGAAATGTTTAGAATATATTTAAAATCGCCTCCAAAGATTACCTAAATGCTCATTCTCCCGACCGAAGCCCATCGCAAGCGCACTCAGAACTGTCTTAGCTTTTTTGGAAGGGAAACGAAAGTTGCTGTCACATCACATCAGATCTGTAGTGAGCTTAGGCGAGAGCAGCTTTCTCCTTTAGAGGGGACAAAGGTTCGTCGCAGCACACCCCCTCCATAATATGTCAATATATGGGGCTGACTTTGCGCCCCCTCCAATGTCCCCGCACCCCCTTCCTACTAAGTAAGTGTGTGAGGCTGTGTTTGTATCCCCCCTTATCACCTTCCCGTGCACATGCCTATTGTGAGGTGAGGGACCTCTGAAGACCTCCTCAAAGCATCCAGACGTTTGTTCGAGAGGAGACAATAAACAGTGTGACATGCGTCACATTCTTCTGTGGTCACGTGACCAAGCCACCTACACTGCCACGTCACGGCCCAATTCCGTGCCCCGAAACCGGTAGTTATCCACGTAAAAAAAGGCAATATTGTTTTATTTAGCCAGAATAAATTTATCTTGGTGCGTGTATCATGCTTCCTGGAGCTATAAGAAAAGCTTGCAGCAAAGAATACGCAAGCCGCAAATATTGTGGCACAACCCCTTGGTTTTTGTGCGAAAAAGGGAAAGCCTATATAATTACAAATCTTCCTTAACGTTGTGGTTGCTTGATCAATCAGATGTTATGGTGTTCCATCTTACATGGTAAACGTGCATTGCTACCACATTCATGGTAATTATGGTTGCATTATTAAAGATGTTATTGGGAGCTCTAGTACACCAGAAAGCAACAATTGCAAGATTTAGCATCACCGTGGTGTGCTTTACACTGCACATGCACTATTTTTTGTATTTAACGTTATGTGTTAACTAATGCACACAGGGAACTGTATGTAAGATGGTGATAGAAAATGTAACAGCCGCCCTATATGTATACATTGAAATGTCGGCCTGCACTGTTAATCTCATTCATTCTCCACCGATGCTCATATTTGCTTTAGGTCTGAGTAATAAGGCTTTGCCACCACATGCTATGTCAAAATAGCTCTGTTTTCAAGAAAATCTGTCAATTAGCTCAGAAGGCTTAATGAGCAAGTTTGCCCATGTTGTTATCGCACTGAGATGAAGCCATTGTCTTTATCTACTTTGTTTGTTTTCATGTTTAAAAGGATGTAGCCAAAAGGATATAGCCAGCCACAATTAAAATGAAATGCCACGTGTCATGTTTCCTGCTGCAGAGCCAAGTCAAAAGTGGCCGTATCGATAATACTTTTTAGCACTTGGTGTTATTTCATCTAGATGGCACTGTGTGTGTTTGTGTTAGCATTTCACTCCCTTGCATTGTAATGATGGACGATATTTGTGTAAGCATTGAGATGCTTACTAATGCTAACATGAGTGTTTTACGCTATATCAAAACTGTTTATTGGCACTGATAATATTACCTATGAACAATTATTGTGGCCATAGCATCCGAAGCCAGCTGTCTTTCTTCAGCACTTTCTGAGCTATAAATATTTTTCTTTATTGTTAACCAAGGTACCTATGTTTCTTGTGTATCAGGTTGACCTTAATGTACTGTTAATGCAAATTGTTTACCTAATGTGTATGTGCATAGGTAGATAACTGGGCACATTGACACAATTGCATAATAATAAAAAAGACGTCGCAGAAGATGTAGGATGAAGAGAACAAAGAACTATATAAATGATATCTTCTATCTGTGTTGCATTTTTTATGCTGCCTTTCTTTTTAGGGTAAATTATGTGTACAATAAATAGGCTGTGTTGGCTTGCACTGAACTTGCTGTGTTTCTCCTTAGTGTTAAAGAAATAAAGATTGTACCATTGCTGAGAATTTGCTGAGTCTGATGAAACTATAGGTGCTCACACTGGCATTCAGAGCATGATGTTTAGCCTGATGGGGGATAACATTGTTATAAAATAGCAAAAGCATAAACAAATCATATTGATGGTCATCTTCAACATGTAGCTTATGATGGTGAATTGTGGCATATTTTTTTTTTCATGCATGAGCATAAGACACTGCTGAGGTATATATGTCTTGTTTGTTTTGACCTTATTTTATTCGAAGGGCTCAAAAAGAACTAGTAAATGAATTTGATTTTGGCTTGATGTAATCAGGAATGGCTGCCTGGTTAATCAGAGTGAGAGCTAATTTGCCCACACAAATGCAATGTTGTGTTTACTGTGAACTTCCAACACTTTAATGATTTTATCAGCTATGCCCACTGAAAAATGTGTCTCTCTCATTTACCCAGGTAATGGTGCCGGCAGTCTCCTTGCAGTGATGGTTCTGCTAAAGCAGCTACAGCTGAGCACATTTGCTAGCTGAAAGACGTTCGCTCCTAAAGAAGAGGATGAAGGAAGTATCGAGGCACAGTGATGGAACTGTACCAGGGTTTCGAATGGTTCACTTTGAGTCTCCACCGCATGCCAGTGCACTTCTTAATGGCCTCAATCTTTTGCGAGCCCGAGGACAGCTTCTTGATGTGACTCTTATTGCTGGTGGCCGAGAGTTTAAGGCACACCGCGCTGTTCTAGCTGCCTGCAGTGACTATTTTCGGGCTATGTTCACGGATGCTATGCTTGAGAGCCGTCAGCCTGAGATCTGTCTTAATGGAGTGAGTGCCCAGGGTCTGCGATGTCTTCTGGAATATGCATATACATCAAGGCTGGTGCTTAGCTTAGCTAACATTCAAGATGTATTGGCCACCGCAAATCATATCGGACTGACCCCTGTCGTCGAAGCCTGCTCTTCGTACCTGCAAGATCAGCTTGATTTAGAAAACTGCATTGATGTTGCTACACTTGCAGAAACATACTCACTACGAAGACTTCGGAAACGAGTTTATCGTTTTATTTGTGCTAACTTGCACCAATTTGCTAAAACACCAGAATTTCAGCGTCTCTCCACAACACAAATGGAGCATCTTCTTGCCTGCGATTTCCCTGTGAATTGTCCTGAGGGGGATGTGCTTTCATTTGTCCTCAACTGGGTTGCCTGTGATTTAGGTGATCGGCTCTCACAGGCTCGCAAGTTGGTCTCTTACATTTGCTTTTCGGAAATTCCAGCATCCAGACTTGCCGAGTTATGGGACTCCCCAGTGCTGCAGTGCCTATTTTCACGAAGGATTCCTCCTCACCTGTCTGGCATTGGTGGTCAACCACCCCCTAGCCTGGTGAATACTCGAGGCATGGAGCTTGTATTGCTCAAGGTAGGAGGATTTGGTTTGTCAGGTGTTACTAATGAAATTACTTATTACTTGCCTAGTGCAGGCCGTTGGAAATACCTCACCTCTATTCCTCACGTAGAGCAGTGCAATTTTGGCACAGCTGTTCTTGGCAATGAGCTTTATGTGGTAGGTGGCTGCTTTAACCAAAGCTTGCACCAGGAAAATGTGCACCCATTTGGTTTTCGTTATAATGCACTCACTGGTAAGTGGTCGACTATGGCACCCATGCGGTGGGAGCGTTGTCGATTTGCACTTTGCGTGGCTCGAGACCATCTCTATGCAGTTGGGGGTGCCGGTGAAGTACTTGGTGATGTTGACACTGCTGAGGATGGAGAGGCTCATTGTGAGCGTTATGATCCGCACACGGATGTGTGGATGCCTGTTGCTCCACTTCCCGGTGCTCGAACTCAGCATGCTGGTGCAGCCTGGGGCCCATACTTATTTGTTTCTGGAGGCCTCAATGCAGATTCAGTGCTCAACTCTCTTCTTCGTTATGACACACGTACTGATAACTGGGAAACAATGTTGCCCATGTCTATACCCAGAGCTGACCACTCTATGGTTGTTTACGGGGACCGCCTTGTGGTCTGTGGTGGATGGTATGAAGATGCTGCTACAGGCACGCGCGTCCTTGCCGAAACGGTTGAAGCATATGACATAGCTGCCAATTCTTGGACTCCTGTCACAACAGTGCCAACCCCACGATACCATGCTGGTGTTGCAGTGCTCAGCTCGTGGCTCTACACAGTGGGTGGTTTCCACAGTGACACTACGTTTGACCGCGCAAGTGGAGTCGTTGAGAGGTTCGACTTGGATGGCAGTCTTGGTTGGGAAGAAGCGCAGCCTTACCCACAGGATGTATGGGAGCATGCGTGTTGCACCTTGTTTGTTCCTCGCTGTAGAGATGACCTTGACGTCATTTCGGACAAGACCTTAATGTAAGTTCTGGCATTGCTGGGCACATTTCTCACTTTGTGCCACTGAGGAGGAAGCCATAGTGCAAGAATGGCTACGCTTTAGTTTAATTTTGTGTGTATTTAGTTTTCTTTTTGTTCAAGTAACATGTTTAGTGTTGGCTTGCTAAGGATTTTTTATGGACTTGCCAAAGACAGTTGCCAGAGATAAGATTGTATCTGGGAAAGTATAGCTGGTGCTCATGCATGCCATGATGCAACTTTTGACTCATTTGTATTAGTGAGACGCTGCATTGCTTTCTTGTGTGACCTGCTGTGCCTTTTGTGCTGGATCACTACTGTAGCATATACGCCATTGTGGTTCCAGTTTGCTGGGTGCCAGCATTTTGAATGTTCAGCCATTAGAAAAGCATTCTTACTGATGCATTTGTTGACTATAATAAAGTGCATGTGTATAGGATATCAGTTGCTTCTCTTCACACCAGATAAGAGATACTTGTTAAAGGGATGGCATGGCTGCATGTAAATGCTTTTATGGTAGCTGCACTTACGATCATGTCTAAGACTAGAAATTATGCCATTTTTTGTTTTTAAAAGATGCAAGTTAATGTCAACAATTTAGTGCTATACTTATTGCATCAAAATATTTTATGAGCAGAGGAACCGAATTAAGTATTATTGCACACGTTTTAGCACTAATTTTTTATGTATGCTGGTTTTGTTTAGAGTTGTTACTTAGTATCAGTGTTACCTGATGATATTAAACACTGTTTTTACTTATCATGTTAATGACGTAACCTAAACATGTATTGAGGTACTTTTAAACTATTACTGAGTTTGCTTGACCGTATGAATTTAGGGTGTACTGCATTAAGCAGGAAAATCAACCTTTTTTATTTCTAGTGCACTTACAGCAGTGTGCTCACATTCTTTTGAAGCTATGTATATTTTTTTGGCTGTGTACATGCATGTGTGTATGTACACTGGTTTATTAGTTTGGGGATTATAACTTCTTAATTCTTTATCTATAAATTGAATTTGATTCTGTTTATTATGCTTTAGTAGATATGAGAGATGTAATATATTTGAATTGAAAGCTCTTGTTGCAGTTGGAGGGAAGCAAGGTATCTTAGATTGTGGACAAAGTCACTCTCAATGCTATGCAATGTTCAAAAATTTATAGCAGTTATTACATGAAGTTCTGCATCATTTTTCAATATTTCAAAAATCTTGGATCAGTCTACATCTCCTCTCCATTGGCTTTTACTGTATGCCATCGTGTGAAATGTCCGTGCATGATTTAATCCTTTCTGACATTTTATCTGTCTTGTTCTCTATCTGTCTAAAACTCATTTGTCCGATTCTTAGCTGTTTAAATCACCAGTCATCCTGAAGGTCAGATGCTCATTGCAGTTGTTTTGGCATGTCATTGCATTTTAGATAATCAAAACAGTCAAGTTGGTGCACGGCTGTCACAGGCCTGCAAGAATGAATGCATAGCCGGTGAAGCCTGTGGTGTACAGCTTAGACAGCGTGAATGCACATCCTAGGTTATAACTTCTTTCATAGTAAAGCTAAATGTTAATTACTATTATAGTAATGAACTGAAATAAAACAGCCTACAAGGTTTTAGTATAGTAGACTTTGTTTTGCAACTGAACTGAAGATGAATTACTTTCATAACCTAAAAAGATTTGATTGAAGTAATAATTCTGCAGTGTTAGGGGTGAAATATTGTAAAGTTTAAACGAAGTTAATACCATTAAGAAAACTGAACTGCAGGTGAATCGTAGTAGAAAAAAGAATATCCCTTTCAGGCACGAATTATGATGCATTGTCTGTGAATGTGTCAAATTCACATAGCATGATTCCCTGGCACTCAATAATATATTCCAAGAAGAAAACATAGTAATGTCGTTTTGTCTGAGTTTCAGTAATAAATAGTAATAGCATGTTATAAAGTAATTCTGCTACGAGTCATGTACCCTGTTGATATAAAAAAAAAATGAAATCATTGACTCCAAATGTGTGTGCAATTAGTTTTTGGTTGCATTCGTTTCGAGAAAAACAATACCTTGGTTGTATGTTCTGGAGCGCAGCACTTCTAATGACCCGTCAAAATGTAGTGCATTCACCAAAGCGATCACCTGCAGTTACAAGTGGCACACTGAATTTAAGTCAAGACATAGTGAATTTGCAGCAGGCCCAGTTCATCTAATGAGTATTGTATCTTGCTCATTTTTGGCCACAAGTTTACAACACTAGCATAAACAAGTTTAGTACACAAATGTAATAATTGCTGCTCAAGCAGATCTATAGAAAACTATCTTAAAATAGAAATTTGAACTATCCCTACAGAGTCTTGCGTCTAACCTTAAATACTGTATACCACGAATAAAACACAGGGCAGAGGAGGAAAATGGTTTGTGCTGTCCAGATTTTAAGATTATGAACGAACTAGCCTAGGAACGAAATTTTTATGCATTTTGTGCTTTGTTAGTAGAACTAGCATAGTAGCGGTCATCCCCTGCTAGGTGCCTGAGTGGTGTTTATTTCTCTGGAGGCTCTATTCTTATCGTGCAAATATGACTGGTCAGTGTTGTCAGTATTGGTGATTTATGTAAGCAAAAGAGATTGCTGAGCTGTTATAACTCTGTTGAGCATTTTACATACAGCATGTGCTGTTAAAATCTATATGATTGGTACAATAAATTTTTAACTGGCATACACAACAGCCATCAAAATGAATGCTCTTCTCTCTGGCTTTAACAGCATAGATAAGTTTGTCATAAGTAACACGACTCAACAACACTGGGAAATCAAAACAGTTATGCAGCAACAATTATTTATAAAGTTGGTTAAAGTGTAAGAAGTGATCTGCTTTATTTTGAAGAGACTTGATGCCAAGGCCAGATTTCTGTAGGTCGCTTATGACATTGCATTGATGGGTAACTCAATAGACGAGTTGTTATTCTTCTTCATTGATGAATTAGACAAGGAAAACAGAACGGTAGGTCTGAAAATTAGTATGCAGAAAACTAATTGATGTTCAACAGTCTTGGAAGTAAACAGCACTTTGTGATAGGTAGCCAGGCACTGGAAATGGTAAAGGAATACTTAGGACAGGTAGTGACCCCAGAGCAAACCATGAGACTGAAGTAAGTAGAATAAGAATAGGATGGTGCAGGTGCGACTGAAATTCTGAATTTATGAATGGTAGTTTCCCACTATCCCTCAAGACTGTGTGTAACAGCTGCATCTTACCAGTATTTGCTATAGATTAGAAACCTGTAGGCTTACAAAGTGTTCAAACTTAAATTTAGGATGAAAAAGTGAGCAACGAGAATAGTGATAAGTGTTGACATTTAAAGACAATAGGGAGCAGAGGGGGTGTAGGAATGAATGGGTGTTTAAGACACGTTATTTGAAATCATGAAAAAGAAAAGAAATGGACAATAGCAGGGCATATAGTGCATAGTCAAGACAACTGTTAGACATTAAGGGTAACATACTATCCAAAAGAAGGCATGTGTGTGAGGAGGCAATAAGTTCAATGGGCAGATGAATTTAAGTTTGCAGGTGTAATGTGGCTGCAAGCAGTTGCAGAACTGGGTTGATTGGAAGATTATGAAAGAGGCCTTCGTGCTGCAGTGGACATAGCTAGGCTGATGATGATTCCAAGGAGGTTAATGTGGAAGTGGTGGCAATGTATGGTGGCAGTGTTTGAGATTATTATGGTAAATGGTGCAGCAGATTTTAGTATTTGCGGACAAGCCACAGTGACAAAGAAAAGAGTGGCGGATCACCACTCAATAAAGAATAACTAGTTGACATGCAAGTGGAGGCTTTTGTGCTTACTGATTGGAATATTCTCTGGAAAAAAAAAGTTATAGCAGGTTGCTTTGTAGGCTCAGAATACTCATCCACACAAGTCTCATAGCTTAATCTGGGCACATTAATGGCAATATGACCAAATTTATCATTTCTATTTTCATAAATTGGCAGTGCTAAGATGTAGTTTCTATCTTGAAAGGCCTGTTGCCTGCTCCACTGCAGTCTTTAGTTGGTTTCTGGGTATGAACCAAAGAAAACTTGTGGAACAGCTTTATGTGGACACACCTGCATCGTCTACTTAGTATCTACAAATAATTAGATGGCTGTCACCCTTGCAATTTTAAATCAATTTTCAAATGTAGATTGCTTCACTGCACTATAAACACGCCTTCATTTTTTGTGTAAACAACCAACCAACCACCGTCGACTTCAGGAGTTTGTTCTTGCAAGCTTTTCTTCTTTAACGGAACTAGACGCAGGCTTTCACGAAAGTACATTTGGGAAGGGGGGGGGGGGGGGGGGTCATGCATATTTGCCACAATCCAGAGGGGATTATGGCAGCACCCAGGGAGCCTTCTTGGTTTAGTGGATTTATGTTGCCAGCTATGTTTACATGAAAACCATTATGACTCTTCTCTCACTCAGCACTCTTCGAAAGTGAAAGTGTAACGGAGCACTTTAATACCACCTCCAAAAAGTGAAACATTGTGTGTTTGAGCTAACAAGGTTTCTAACCATTATAAGGGGGTCATTAGCTATTGATTGCAGCAGGAAAAGTAAGATATAACATTTTCGTGTCTGTATTTTTTTAAGCAAAATAATTGTTCACATGTATTATTGTCCTGTTATCATACTACAAATTAAGGCTCTCCTCCAATACTTAAGCAACTTCATGTATGTGGTCCCTTCCCTGCGTTCTACCTTGCACCAGAGCGAAGGGACCATATTACGTTCACAGGATGAGCCTCGCATTCTTTCCTGTCATTTCAATTTTCAAATGTGGAATTGCATCTCATGCATTTCATGATTTCGATTGCATGCTATTGTCAGCCACATTGGAATACCTGCATGTAGTGTAGGTGATTGGTGTGTGTGTTCCTTGAAGCCAGTCCAACTGTGGCTTCCGTGACAAGAAGGAAAAACAGCTTTCTGCGTAAAATTTTGAATATTTTTCCACCGTGCATTTATACAATACTTTTTAGACATGACCACCCTTACGTGTTATACAAGGTACACTTATTTATTTGAAATACCCAAGCTTGGTGAAGGGTCCTTAAAGCTTTTGTTTTCTTTTCTCCCTGTATTGTCCGTAAAACACATTCTTGTTACTGAAGCATTTCATTTCTAAATTCTATATTTTATGCTGTCTTGGCAGTATTCCCTATCTTCTCATGTGCAGAGAATGCAAGTGACTGCGTTTTAATGGCTTGCAAACAGCTGCACTGATTTTCTCTGATGCAAACTAATTGCATTTGCAGTCCTGTGAATGTCTCTGATTGTGATAGATTAAATAAAATCGGCACTTATGTGCCTAGTGAGTAATATCTTTAGTTCATAGTATTTATTTTCTTTACAATCTTTTTTGTGTTATAGATGTCACTTCAAATACTGGATTGTATATGACACATTGAGTTAATGTTGACTTGTTCACCTAAAATAAGCTTCATTGACTGACGTTGCTTTTAGTATTTGCTTTTATAGAAATTCTTGCTTATTCTTTAGTAGACCTCAGGATTTTTTCACATTTCTTGTATTGGAGTTACATTTGATGAATATAACTTTTCTAAGGAATGATTAGGTATTAACGTCCTTTGTTCTTTCTCAAATGCTAATGTAAGTTGCTTGTCGCTCTTGAGTTCTTCTGGTCAAGGTGCACTGGGATGCTTCATAGGAAACGAGCACGACAAATTAAGAGAAATTGTTGGATATATTTTGATCTTGCTAGTGAGACAAGGATACATTCAGTGGAATAGCTTAGGCAGTGTAGGTATATTTTCACTTTTATAAATTATAAACCTACACTTTGATGCATCTGATTTTTTTGGTTCATTACTTAGAATACATGCCCTTTATTCATTTCAACACTCAGTGGATTCTTCATCAGGGAGGTCCATTATATGGGGATCATTAGTCACAGTGAAATAATGTTTTGATCTCTCATTTATGTAGACCTTTCACTTAATAATGAGCTGAAAGAAAAAAATCTTGCATATAGTATTACATGCTGTGAACTGCTTATACGTCCTGCCCATCATAAGATGTTTTCAGAAGCTGACAAATGGTGTATTGCATGTGTGGAACTAGTTGATGCCATGTTTTATAATTGTCCAAAAGGTTTTTGTCAAAATTATTTTTCTAAAAAGCTGGATCAGTTAACGCTTGGATAAAGTCCATGTAGTTGACTGATTGGTCAGGAGTATTGTTTCTCTTTTACATTTGTTCATCATTGTCACCAGCTCTTCAGGAAAAAATGTATGCTTGTAATTATTCAGAACATTGGTCAATTCAGAACGCATATGATTGTGTGTGTAATGACAAATGCCACCTTTGGTGATAAAAAGATGCTATATCTTACATTTTGAAGGGGTCGAAGTGTCTTGATAAGAGCAATTATGTAAAGATTGAGAATACCTTGCCAGGTTTGCAATGTTTAAAAGGTCGAACTATTAAAGACTGAGACCAGTCTCAATGTCAGAAAGCACATTCTCTCGAAGTTTGAATGCTTCCGTGCTAGGACAGTTGCTGTGTACATTGTAAATGCTGTGTAATGTAACTCACTAAAGTGTGCTGTGCTTGGTGGCTGTGTAAATAGGTATAGCCCACCTTATCAGCTGTCATGTAAAACTATAAAAAAAAACTATGGAACCATCCCCAGATATATAGTTTTGTAGGCACATTGTCGCTATGTGTTTCTTTAGCAGCTTCATAGAGTTATTTTCTTCTTGCCCTACACACTGCAATCTGTTGATCACAGTCAATAGAAAAGGGCTGTTCACTGGGGCTAGACATTATCAATTGAATGCTCTTGCAGTTTGTGTCTTCGTTCAAAGCAGTAGAATGGGTTTATGTGGCACTTCTGAGCTAATAAGGTTTTTATTTCTCTTGTGGCCATTTGTGAACTTCTCATTCTGTGATAATAGGCTTAAATATTAGATGCAATGTATTCTACACCTTAGTACTTAGCACACTTGGAATGGTACTTAAGAGTCTGCCACAGTGATTGGCTACTGACCTGAAAGACATGAGTGCGATTCTTGCCACGGCCGTCACATTTCGATGGAGGCAAAATGCTGGAGGCTCATGTACTGTGCAGTGTTACTACACATTATGAAATGTCAGGTGGTCGAAATTAGAAAGTCTGCATTATGGTGTGCCTCATAGTCATATCATTTTGCCACTTAAAATGCCAGATATTATCATTGTGTTTAACAAAGTCCTGTAAAAACTCCCACTGCGATGTCACATTGTGAAAGGTCTGGAAATTGAAAGCTCTCTGTGTACCACCACAACTCATAGGCTCATATTTGTAAACCAAGCTATTAAATGTTGTATGGTCTTTAGTGTTTGGATGTTAAATCCTATCAATTAATATTACAGAGTTCTATTTCAAAAGACAAAATGTCATTTCACCAAGCTGTGCTTGTTTCCGAGTGTTGGCACTGTGTGCTTGCACTTGCCTTCACAAGCATTCGGATTCTGTTTTGCTTTCGCTAGGAGCCATAACTGTAGTAGCTTCTATATACATCAGCTGGCAAGCTCTGCTTAAAAACACTTTGGCATATTACTCTTTTGCAACAGACTTTATGTTCATTGACAGCTGGAATTTAATAGTCATTGTTTTTAGCTGAGCACTTGTAACAGGGGTCTTAAAACATACCTTAGTACATATTTAGCGGCTTGGATTATTCCCACATTGTTTGCAAGCTTTACTTAAATTTGAAAAACTGATGCTTATTGCACCTACATTTCTTTTATCAAACAAACAGATTTGTGCCATTAAGCTAAGTACTGTTGCAAATGTATTAACTGCTGTTGGCAGCACATGAATGATTTTTGCGGGGGTGTGTGCCAGTACAGCTTTACTAAGGAGTGTGTGCCTTTCTTGTCAGTCTCCTGTACTTAGCTTTTGCTCATCATATTGCAAATCACATGCCCTATTGATTGATTGCTACAT